GCAGGACTTGAGCAGCTCTGGGCCTGGTTAATTTGATGCGAACTAACTGTATTTCCCTTTACCCACTTTCCTGAAACAGCTCATCAAAAGAGGGATTTTTGAAACATGCTCAAACACAAACTAACAGAATCGGATTATTCACAGACAGAATAGCAGATAACGTTTTCTCTTCAGATACTGCCGGAGAGACTGACAGCAGCCCTCCTTTCTCCTGCTTCCTTTTTAACAGCCCCGCAAATTAATTTTCCTTCCTCAGATGTGAGTCTCCCTTGGAGAGAAGTCCAATCACCAGGCTACAGACTGCCCTAGCAGGGACCCTCTGCCTGCTCCTTCCCTTGATGTTGCTTCACTGCTCAGAAAAATAATTTGAGACTCACTGGGGCAGAGATAGAGCAAAATGAGGAGCCCAAATTTAGAGCCTTGCAGCGAAGGCACAGAGCTGGGCAGGTAGAGGCTGTGGTCCTGTATGTTAAAGAGTCACTGGATAAGCATAAAGCTTTTGGAAGCTGTAGCTCAAAAAGGCTGCTTTAGATGGCTTCTAAAGCCACCCGGCCCCAGCTCGCAGAAGCACAGGGAGAGCTGATGAACCTGGGTCCCCAATTTCACTCTAGCAATCAAACCCCCAATGTTTGGCAACCAGCACTCCCAAACTTTTTGATGCACCCATGTATTTCATTTTACCCAGCCCTTTCACCAGCTTCATGGCATTGAACTGCTGATGAAGTCAGCAAAAAAGCTGCAGCTTCTGTTAAGATGCTGCTATGATTTAAAGAAGTCTTGCTGAGAATTAATCATCTTACAGAGGAAGAAAATATCTGCCTTCCTCCATATATTTTCAAGGAGCTCTTTTGATTTACTGCACGGGATTATCTATGGCAGTACTTTGGACTGTGTTTTGCACGGGACATAGACACAACTAACTCCCGTGACTGGTACGCTTAGCAGGGGAAATTGGTCAGATTCGCAGTATTCTCACCACAGAGCCACCTTCAGCTACTACAGCTAATCATTAACACAGTTTAGCTCTGGACCTCAGGCTGAAGGCTTATACCGACAAGGGCGCTGTATTATTTTTTACCTCTCATGATAGGAAGTGCGGTTTCCCCCAGCCATCTTTTTTTAACATGGAAAAATAGAGGCCGTATTTAGTCAAAGACAGAGCTTTGAATGTCACTCAAATAGAAAAGAGAAGCCAAACACCATCCGCTTCTAAAAAATTTCCATAAACCACAGGATAGCTGGGAGGGTGGGTAACACACGGTTAGATGGATGACGGACTCCGATCCAAATGCGCTGCCGGCTCCACAGCAGTCCTGCAGCAGGGCTGCCTGTTTCCAAAAGGACAAGTAGAGGTCCAGCGACTGAAAACACATGCCCTCCTGAAACAAGAACATGCTGGAGCGTGAGAGCTTTCGCCCCTGTACAATTTTACGTTTGGCAACTCCTGTGCTCATCCCCAAGAAATAACAGAAATAATGGGACAGAGAACAGGCCAGAAAATGGAAATTATGAGATTTCCATGTCTTCTCTTCCCTAAGGACTAAACCACAGTGCCAGCATTCATGGGGTTCCAGTCTCCAAGTTAATACCCCATTCAGCAACCGCAATAATGTGTACAATATTTGGTCAGCCTACAAACAGTGCTGCACTCAACATAAGAAAGCAATTAGTCATAGCTTGATAAGGAGGTAAAAGAGAAGAAAATCTTGCCAAGTAGCAATCATATTTTATGCCTGTGTTTGATATACATTTATATGCCTATATCTCTGTCCAGACACTTGCACCTTAGGTGTGCTTAAAGGGGGAATTCTAAGGAAAAGCCCTAAGTACGGTTAAAGAAAAACATTTCTTAATACAGTAACCTAGAGGAAATATATGCCTAAGGGACACATTTTCTGAAAAAAAGATTTCCTGAACCATATGCTGCAAATACACAGAACTTCTTCGTAATGGAAAGCTAAGGCTTTGTGAAGATATTAATGTGTACCAGATGGTCGTTAGGTAGAGAAGGGTTTCACACAAACACAAGAAATCACTCTATTCACTCTGCTACTAATGTGTTAGTCTAGTACACACTGAGAAACAACCTTCCACACATAATTGAGATAAACTTTCTTCCATTTGATTCTAAGGAAGCAGGGCAGGAGCAGATTAGACCTTAACCGCCTGTCCCACTTGCGTTAGAGCTGTATTCTGCAAACACTTACTACTGGG